CCAGTATCAGTCAATTAAAAAACAAAACTAGATTCAAACTTGAGAGTTGGAAAGGATTTGAGGTCTTGTTCTGTTCTCTTTTTCTGGTTTATCTCAAGGAAAATGAGGTTTAGAGAGGCTACCTAACTTGCCTAAAGCTTCAGCAGAGCTGAGACTTGAACATGGCTTTGTTGCTAAGAACTTGCTGTAACTTGCCACTTGCTAATTAGTGGTTTGAAAGAGATCTTTTACTTGTGTGTTTTTTTTTGGGGGGGGCCTGTTCATCAAAAGGAATTATATTTATTGTGTACCTTCTATTTGTTGATTCTTTTAAAATGTTATTCATATAATTTTACATAGTTATGGGAGCTAGTTATTAACAGTCCCACTTTACAGATTGAGCTCAAAGGAGACTGCTGCAATCAAGTTAATAACTTGCTCAAGGTCATCTGGTTAATAGTAGAGCTGACATTTGAGCTTTAGATCTTTCTGCCCTGTTGCTCCGTGATGCCACTGTGGCTTATGTGGCCAGTGATACAGTTTAGACCTTTTCAGGGGGTGGGCAGTGGTGATGGTAATCTTAAACTGTCTGCTCAGACTTCTTGCTCACTATGAAATGTGCAGATGTACACAGATGCAGGTACAGTCACCCTTTCTCACGATAGCTAATCTCTCCACTATCTCTATAAGATGCATGTTGTTTTCTGGTTGGACAGTTGAGGCTCTGGGATTCACCCAGTTTCTTATCACAAACCCACATCCCTTCCCATCCCCCCCCCCACCTTTTCAGTCCCTTCTAGCATGGATTTCACCACTTTTGCTCTTTCCTGTCTTACGCCAAGATTGTTTAAGTACTTCCCAAAAATAATGAGCCACATGTGGGTGTGTTCATTCTCCAGAATGATTCATTGTGAAAGAGGCTGTGCACCAACGAAACAAGAATAAATATCTGGAATCAGAGAGACTCCTGACTGTTCTGCCCCACTAATTGATGGACTCTGAAGTGAGCTCTTTTTAAAGAGGCAACTGTGGGTTTGGCCTTGTGTGTCTCACCATGCTCAGAATAGTCTTCTCTTGAAGTTGTTAATTTTCTCTTTCTTACTTCCCAAAATAGACCTGGTGCTGTTCTCAGCTGGACGTCCCAACCCATGTACTGTGAGGTGTGTTCCGCACAGGGAGCCCCTTCATGCCTGAGGGATGCAGGGGAGTAGCTTTTCTCGATTAATGGAATTCCCGTGGAATAAAAGAGGATTGGACTAAGTATTCCAGAACTTGCCTGAGTTGAAGTTTGCAAAGGAGGGTGGGGGGATGAATGAGACTTACAGGTATTTGGAGGAAAGAACAAGAAGCCTTTCTTGAGACTTACTAAGAGTTAGCGTTGAAATTCAAGGGAAACTTGCTTTTAAGATTCTTTTATGGTTTGGATCTACTTCCACAAACATCTACTTAAACTTCACTCAATGAAGTTTAGGAAATAGCTCTACCAAACTCAACAGGTATCCACATGTTGTATGGAATTTCTCTCAGAAGATAGGGATCTGATCAAATGCTCTGAAAAAGCACACAGGCTGCCAGGAAGGTCTCCACTGACTGTCTACTGGTCCTTGGTTTCTTGGTTGGGAATAGCAAGGGATTGTTTCCTTTATTGACAGTCTGGTGCAGGAAGAGTTGGACTTAAGAGATTTAGAATCTGCCTTTGTATTTGAAAAGCCAAAGAAATGACTTTGAGAATATTGGAAAGGATGAAGATTTTGTGTATGTGCACATGCGTGCATTCAGGAGGCTTGAATTCAGGCCCCTAAAAGCTGATAATTCTCAAATCTCTTTAGTCTTGGTGTTAAGATCATAGATAAAGGGCAAACCTGGGTTTGAAGTCAGCAGTTTGGCTCCAAAATTGAGCAGGTTGTAATCGCTGCATTTTAGCTTTCTGTGTGTATGTATGTGCCAGTCTTGGGGCTTTAACTCAGAGCTGGGCCTGGGCACTGTCCCTGAGCTTTTGTGCTCAAAGCTAGCACTCTACCACTTGAGCTACAGCTCCATCTCCAGTTTTCTGGTGGTTAAATGGAGATAAGAGTCTCATAGTCTTTCCTACCTGGGCTGGCTTTAAATGTCTATCCTTAGATCTCAGCCTCCTGAGTAGCTACATTTATAGAAGTGAGCTACTTGTCCCCCCCCTCCCTTTTTTTCGTCATTGGTGGTATTAGGAATTGAACTCACACAACTACTCTTATCACTTGAACAGTACCCCAAGCTCAAAGATAACCTCCTCCTCTTGTACTGGGGTTTGTACTCAGTCTCTTGCACTTGCAGGCATTCTACCTCTTGAGCCAAATCCATCAGCCCGTTTGTCTTCGTTCTTTTTTATTTTTCCCTTTTTTTTTGGGGGGGGGTCCGGTCGTGGGGCCTGAACTCTGGACCTGGGCACTGTCCCTCAGCTCTTCAGCTTAAGGCTAGCATTCTACCACTTGAGCCATAGCGCCACTTCCGGCATGTTTCTTTTTGCTTATATGGTGCTGAGGAATCAAACCCAGGGCCTCATGCATGCAAGGCAATCGCTCTACCACTGAGCCACATTCCTTATAAAGGTGATGTACAAAGAGATTACAGTTGCATAAGCTGGGTAAAGAGTACACTTCTCTCACTCCCAGTTTTTCTCGCCCATCCCATCCACAAGTTGTGTACTTCATTTTCAACATAGTGTGTAGTGAGTTGTACTGCTGCATTTGTTCACCCTTTGTCCTTTCATTTCTGTGCCCCATCTTCATTATTTTTCAAATAAGGTCTCCAGTATTTGTCTGGGTTGGCCTGGACTGCAGTGCACCTGTTTATACTTCCCACAGGCACGTGTCACTGTGTCTAGCTATTGAATGAGATAGAGGTCTTGTGCTTATGTCCAGGCTGGCCTTGAACTTTGGTCTTCTCTCAGTCTCCACCTGAAAGATAAAACTATTTACAGCTGAAATGGGGAGTTAGAACAGGGTTGTTTTTCATGGGGCTGGTCACAAGTGTTGGCTCTTGAGCCTTAGTGCGTGTCTTCCCACAGGCAATGCTCACCGAATGTGGCACCTAAGACTTGGCACCCTCTTCTCTCTGTCACCTGATTGGGTGAGTGCCTCATTTCCAGCCTCAGTATTCTAGTGGCCAAAGCAACATTCCTGCCCATCCCAAGAGGTCAGGGCTAGGTTAGGCTCGTGAGAGACAGTGTTGGGAAGAACCAACTGCTGCTGTCTGTGCTATTCTTGTTAGTCAGATAAATAAAGGATTGCAGATTCCAGGGCTGCTGAATGGCTTTCAGAGGCTCCAAATTCATTTTTTGTAATTTCCTGTTGGTGGCACAGTTATTTATGTATAATATATATACCCAGCAAAGTTCATTAGTCCCAGGGAGGATTGTATATACTGCCTATTAGAAAAACTATGTTTTGTGCACATATATGTTTGTGTTTAAGTACCATGAAGATTTGTGGATGAGTTAAATTTATTGAGCACTTTTTATGCATTTAGTAAGCTTTATGAGATAGGTACTAAAATTCTTTTTGGAGGACATCATTTTTGTCACTCATAAAGGGGCACTTGCCCAAATAGATGAAAATGGTAACGATGATAAAGGAGTGGTCTGAGGAAGTTTTTCATAAGAAGTGATGTTTAAGACCCATGGCTCAGGGCTGGAATGTAGCTCAGTGGCAAAGCGCTTGCCTAGCAAGCGCAACGTCCTGGGTTCGATCCCCAGTACCAAAAAAGAAAAGACAAAAAAAATACAGTTAAAAAAAAAAAAAGACCCATGGCTCAGGTGGCTGAGATCTGAGGATAAATCAGCCTGAGCAGAAAAATCTGGACCATTATTACTAGTTAACCACCATAAAGCCAGACATGGAGCTATGGTTCAAGTGATTGAGTGCCAACTTTGAGTAAAAAAGCTAATCAGGAGCTGGGAGCCCTAGATTCAAGCCCCAGCACCAAAAAGAAAAAGTGGTGTTTTAGCAGAATTTTGAAGGGTTTGTCAGAACACAAGATTTCAGTAAAAGAATATATGAGAGCTGGGCTCATACCTATAATCCTAGCTACTCAGGAGGCTGAAATCTGAGGATTTTGATTTGAAGCTGGCCCAGGCAGGAAAGTCCATGAGACTCTTTATCTCCAGTTAATCACCATAAAAGCCAGTAGTAGAGCTGTGGCTCAGCTTGTAGAATGCTAGTCTTGAACAAAAAGGCTCTGGGACAGTGTCCAGGTCCTAAGTTCCAGCCCCACAACTAATATTTAAAAAGAAGAATATATGAGATCTGGGCACCAGTGGCCTGGGACTGAAATCCTAGCTACTCAGGAGGCTGAGATCTGAGGACTACAGTTTGAATCCAGCCTGGGCAGAAAAGTGCAACTTTATCTCCAGTTATCCAGCAGAAAAGCTGGACTGAAGGAGTGGTCTAAGTGATAGATCACCAGTTGTGAGCACAAAGCCCAGCCCCTGAGATCAAGCCTAGTACTGCCCCCTCCTCCCCAAAAGAAAAATAATATATGAGGATGTATATATCACATTTGGGAAACTGGGCATGCCTGGTATCCAAGGAGGGAGAGAGGAGATGGGGTAATACTGACTGCAAAGTTTTGCCTGGAATATGGGGAGTTGCCTTCTATTCTCCAAAGGGAAGAGACTTTCTCTCATCAAGGGTTTTGGTTACAATTCAAAGGTGTGTGTGTGTGTGTGTGTGTGTGTGTTTGTGTGTGTTTGTGTGTGTTTGGTTACAATTCAAAGGTGTGTGTGTGTGTGTGTGTGTGTGGTGTCTCTCTCTCTCTCTCTCTCTGGCATGAAACAGCACTGAGAACAGCAGTAGGGCCTATAAGGTCTTATTTGCGAGCTGCATTAGTAAATGAAAAGTTTGTGCCCAGTGAAAATGGCTTTTTGACTCCATTTCCACAAAAGCTCCTTATTTTGGAGTGTGAAGTACACTAAAGGATTATATTCTAAGCCTGGAAAAGATCTTACCATTGCTGCTGATGTCTGTTCCCAATTTCCCGCAGCTCTGCTGTGTGCATGCACCACCTGCGGACAGGCCAACTTCACATGTGAAACAGATGGGGCTTGCATGGTTTCCATCTTCAACCTGGATGGGGTGGAGCACCATGTGCGCACCTGCATCCCCGAAGTGGAGCTGGTCCCTGCTGGAAAACCTTTCTATTGCCTGAGCTCAGAGGATCTGCGCAACACCCACTGCTGCTATTCTGACTTCTGCAACAAGATCGACCTCAGGGTTCCCAGTGGTAAGTGGATACCCTTGTTGGACTGTTGGCTCAACTGGGAGTAGGGCACCTACCTTGTCCTTTCATCTTTGTTTTGTTTTTCTTCGGTCCACTCGCCCAGTAATAGTTAAAGGTGCCTTTTTTGCTGTTCCCTGAGGTGTAAGGGATGGATTTGCTCCCAAGTCAAGTTGGTAGCTTAGAAGATGAGAGAGGCAGATGTTCAAGTTCGTTTCAGATGTGCCAGTTTCGTGAGTGGCTGAGCAACCATTGGCAGTGGAGCCAGGCAGGGATTTGTCCAGAGCATAGAGGACTGATTGAAGATGAAGGAATGTCTAAGCCAGGTGGAGGGTCTGCTTTGAGGAGGGGAGTGGTATAAAGAGGGGCTGGAATTAGGTAGTGATTACAGTGGAGAAAGTACCAGACACTGACTGCCCTGTGCAGGTCAGCCACTTAGCAAGTGCTGGAGGGACTAGAGCAGAGCCTAGCGAATAGAAATTAACATCTCTCTGCAGACTGAGACAGTATCCTGACATGCTGTGTGAACTTGCAGAGTGGGTTTGGTTTGACTGTTGGAGAGATGCCTCAACTAAAGAAGGTGGCATTTAAGAGCATCTAGGCAGATGGTCCAGCCCAGTAAGACTGGAGTGATCAGAGGACTCCAAAGCTGAGGGAGAAAGGGGTCTTTTTCACATCGGAATAGGGTTGGAGATAGACACAGTTCCCTTCTTTTTACTCTGTATTCTTTCCCTCCTTTCTGTCATTTGACCAGGTCACCCCAAGGAGCCTGAGCACCCTTCCATGTGGGGTCCTGTGGAGCTTGTCGGCATTATTGCTGGCCCAGTCTTCCTCCTGTTTCTCATCATCATCATTGTCTTCCTTGTCATTAACTATCATCAGCGTGTCTATCACAACCGCCAGAGACTGGACATGGAAGATCCCTCCTGTGAAATGTGTCTTTCCAAAGATAAGACACTCCAGGATCTTGTCTACGATCTCTCTACATCAGGGTCTGGCTCAGGTATGGAGTTCTCCAGGCGTCAGCCGTGCTGTTGGCCCTCATGACTGTTTCCCAGCAGAAGAGTGTTTATGAGGAAGGCAGGGGGCCCTGCATTTGTTTCTACCAGCATTGAGTCATTTGGTTTCATAATTCCCCTTCTTTTAGAGTCCAACATGTAATAAGATATGATAATGGCTTCACAGAAAATCTTTCATTCCCTAGGATTCCAAAGGTATAAAACTCTCCCTTGCAGAAACCCTGCCTCTCTTCCAGCAATACATCTATGAAAATCCAGCTGGTTCCACCTGAGCAGTGGAGAGCTCCATTTAAGGGCCCCTTTTGAGAAACAGGAGTGTGCCGGATTCCTGTGAGGTGCTGACAGCTAATCATTGATCTCTGGGCAGCCACAAGGGGAGTTTAAGGACATGGAGCAAAGCTTTAGAATTGGGATCTGGTGAATCATTGACTTGTACCACTGCCTAAGGGTGATTTGGTGGGGGTTCTCGTAAAGACTGCTTGGGCTTCCAGCATAGCTTGGGCTCCATTTCCTGCACTGCCTGTTGTCCCGGTCTTTCTTAGATGAGGGCATTGAACCTAATAGTGAGCCTTGGCATGAGACCAGAATTTTAAGACAGAGGTCTTATGCAGTAGCTCAGCTAGGTATTAGATGTGAGCATGACTATAAAAGAGGTGTTTTTTTTAAGTAAAGATAATTATTTTAATAACCATGCTTTTCCATTTTAAAAGAAGAAATCAGCCACAAAGATCAGTGAGTTGCCATTCTAGCTTGAACACACAGGTCTTTCTTATAACACTCATGTGTTTCTGTGTTTCCCTGATCTGGGACAGACTATTGTTCTGGAGGGAAGTCGTCCCATCAGCCATGGCCAGACATTCCTCCTTGAACACAGGGAATACTGTGAGCTGTGACACCTCCTGAATGTCAGTGGTTTTGTCTTTATTAAGCTTGGCAGCAGAGAGCCCCAAAATGATGAATATATTTTAAAACTGCATATTTTTAGAAACAGAAAATATATAGCTTGTTCTTTGTCGACAGAGGTAGGACAGTAGTTGAAAATGCCTGGCTGTGTCTTGATTGGCTGTGGGAAGAGGGGACTTGAATGTCCAGGGATTTCAAGGCCAGGATCAACTGAGGCTGGGAAGGCAGGGTGATTAGTTTTCCGATCACCAGGAGTACTATGGCTTATGTCTATTTATCTCTGGGTGGTTTAGTTCATCCTCAGTGTAGAGCTTCCAAGGTGGGCATTTTGTAATGTGTGTGTTTTTTGTTTTTTTTTTGGTCGGTTGTGGGGCTTGAACTCTGGGCTTGGACACTGTCCCTGCGCTCTTCAGCTCAAGGCAAGCTCTCTACTGCTTGAGCCACAGTGCCACTTCTGGTTTTCTAGTGGTTTATTGGAGATAAGAGTCTCACAGACTTTCCTGCCTGGGCTGGCTTTGAACCCCAATCCTCAGATCTCAGCCTCCTGAGTAGCCAGGGTTATAGGCATGAGCCACTGGCGCCCATCTTGTTTTTTTGTTTTTTTTTTTGTTTGTTTTAATAATAAGTCCATGATGCTTATGTGAATTCCAGTTTATTTGAACAAGTATAAGCTGAATACCCTCTGGGAACAAAGACTACAGAGAGGCCAGTGCTGGATTGCATAGGAGGGAGTGGGATTGTTGGGAAGTCTTATAGATGAGGATGCATTTGAGGGGGGTCTTGAAGAATGAGTGGAGCCAGGCACCGGTGGCTCACACCTGTAATCCTAGCTACTCAGGAGGCTGAAATGTGAGGATCATGGTTCAAAGCCAGCCTGGACAGAAAAGTCCGGAAGACTTTTATCTCTGAGTAACCACCAGAAAACAGGAAGTGGTGCTGTGGCTCAAGTGGTAGAGTGATCGTCTTGAGTTGAAAAGCCGAGGGACAGTGCCCAGTCCCTACAACCAACAAAAAAAGAAAAAAGGAATGATTGAAATTTTGCAAGGATTCAGGGGTACCCATGCTAAGGAGCAGGGAATGGGGAGCTGGCCAGGGTATAAAAGGTCTTGGAAGGCTTTACTTCATGTAGGTAAGAAGCATTTACCGAAAGCTTTCACATGTGAAAATCTGTGTTCATCATTTCCTTTGGAAGGATGCTGGCCGTATAAAGGATGAAGTCACTCATACGCCCGCCTCCTGTTAGGAAGGGTGGGCTGAGGCAAGACGCAGAGTGGGTGTGGAGGGCACGAACAGGGTGAGATAAAGCAGCAAGACCAGTTGGAAGTCTTTAAAAGAAGGGCCAGAATAGGACAGGGGCCTGTTTCTAATTTGAGAGTTTGGTGGTTTCTATACTGAATAGTTAAAACATGGATTGTGGAGTCCTAGATTTTAATCCCTGCCTTGTCACATAATGGTTTGTATGAGTTTGAATGAGTTATATAATGTTCCCTTGGTATTTTGGTTTTTGGTTTTGGTTTTGTTTTTCTGGTAAGTGGAAATACCTACCTTTACAGGTGGTTGCAAGAAGAGTTAATAATTTACCCAGCCTGTGCATAGTAAATAGTAACTCATATCCACCAATAAGTTGTTATTTGGTCTTAAGAGGGAGATTGAAATGGAGTAGTGGATGAGTTAAATGAAGCAGTAACAAGGTCCTACAAAGACAGTAAAATGAGACTTAGATGGATAGTCCCCTTTCTACACACCTGGAGTTTCTTGTGAGTAGAGCTTCCCCTTTCTACACACCTGGAGTTTCTTGTGAGTAGAGCTTTACTGTCTGAGTGTCTTGGGCCACACAACGCACAACACTTCCCTCTAGTGGCTAATAGGAGAATCGTCAGAAGGCAGTTCTTGGATCTTTTTTTTTTTTTTTTGGTTTGAACTTAGGTCCTTGAGCTTGCCTGCATAGGCCTGCTATACCATTTGAACTATGTCCCCTGGTCACTGTCATTTTGTCTGCTCTCTTCTTGTTTCCTTCAGAGTAAAGCAGAGGTGGGTGGGTTGGCCCACAAGTGTAAATCTGGTGAAACAGCTGGGTGCCCGTGGCTTACACTTGTAATCGTAGCTACTCAGGAGGCTGAGATCTGAGGATCATGGTTCAAAGCCAGCCCAGGCAGGAAAGTCCATGAGACTCATCTCCAATAAACCATTAGAAAACCTGAAGTGCAACTGTGGCTCAAGTAGTAGAGTGCTAGCCTTGAGCTGAAGAGCTGAGGGAGAGCGCCCAAGCCCAGAGTTCAAGCCCCACCACCGACAAAAAAAAAATCTGAGCCGGGCGCGGGTGGCTCACGCCTATAATCCTAGCTACTCAGGAGGCTGAGATCTGAGGATCGCGGTTCAAAGCCAGCCCGGGCAGGAGAGACCGTGAGACT